TATTTTCCTAACTTAAAATATCGTTTGCACTAATTAATATATTTGACGTCACCCTTTCAAACCATTAAGAATTAGTCCTAGAACATAGAGATCTGCGAATTTCTTTTAATTCGTTTAAATTTAGCGATATGGTGAAATACGCAAAAGGTAAAATTAATTCGAACTTTAGATCGCGGTCCTGACTATATTTCCTAGATTGCGACTACTCCGTATATTTTGAGGGTTAAAAATCCGAATCGGTTTAAAAAAAAGNACACATTTATTATTTATCAAAACATTTTGGTTTATAATTAACAATCTTCCTTTCTTTCATGTTTGCCCATTTTACAAATGCTTCTTGAAAGTTAAATGCACTTTCAGGGCCCTCAATATTAATCATTAACAAATTGTTTACATGGTTGATTAACAACCTGTTTCGAATATTAGTTTTAATCAAATTAAGGCAGCTAAAGCCCCTTTCACAGTCAACAGTGTGCATTAGTATTGTTGCACAACACTCTACAACAGAAGTTATTAATGGGTACTGTTCAGACACATCATTGGTATATAAAAATAAAAGTAATTCATTAAATGACATGTTTTTACATCGTTGCATTAAGATGTGTTTTAGTTAGTCTTGTGGTTAATTTATTTTTCTTTTCTTCTCGGTGAAAGTCATATATTCTAGCCATTTTTGTTGATCGCTATGTTTCATCTCGTTTGATCACGTTTTTTTCGTGAACGCTAGCGTCATGGTTCTTCTTGCGAAAGATATTTAGATTTTTTCTCCTTCTTGCTTGATCAAGTTTTTTTCATGGATGTTAGCGTCATGGTTTTTCGCTTTTTTTAATGAAATTTATTAAAATCCTTTAGCAAAAATGCGAAAATGCTTTGTTGAATTTTAGCATTTTTGAGGGGTCTTTTCGCATTATGCGAAAAAAGCTACCGTTGCGGAAACCCTGGTCCTAGAACATAGATTTAGATTTAGTCCTAGAACATAGAGATCTGCGAATTTCTTTTAATTCGCTTAAATTTAGCGATATGGTGAAATACGCAAAAGGTAAAATTAATTCGAACTTTAGATCGCGGTCCTGACTATATTTCCTAGATTGCGACTACTCCGTATATTTTGAGGGTTAAAAATCCGAATCGGTTTAAAAAAAAGGTGTCTTTAATCAGAAAAAGTACGTTTTTGAGCTTATTTTCCTAACTTAAAATATCGTTTGCACTAAATAATTAATATTTCTGACATCAATCTCGTTAACCATTAAGGATGAGTCCTAGAACATGAAGATCTGATCATTATATCAAAAGCTATTCAGGTGAGTCCTTTTATTTTTTTGCGCACTGTACATGCATTTGAAGTATGTGAAAATTTTGTTGATAACAGCCATAGATTTTTTTCATTTCATAGGAAAATGAGATATTAATATTCATATTAATATCAGACATAAATAAAAACGTCTTCCATTTTGTCCTTTTTAGTTTAACTTTGTTAAATTAAATAATAGAAAATGCATTTTCTTCAAATGATTTTCAAATGAACGTAATAGCGGAAAGCTAATATTTTTTTTCGTTATAAACAAAGAATTTTTGTATCTTAAATATTAATAATTTGAAGATATCGTAATATCGGACTTCTCGTTATATGCTTCTCGATGTATCACGCTTTTATTGTATTTAAAATTTGAAAAAAAGCGAAATGAAATTTTAATTTAAAGGATAAATATTTGCGCCCTTGGAAAGTGTATTAAAAGAATACTAAACTAATTATGCATGTTCAAGGAATTCCAAGGAAATAAATATTACAATCTTTAATTTTTTGTGTTTTCTTCCTTTTATATTTTAATTAGTATTTTAATACGTTTTATTAAGTTTTAAAAAAATATTAAGGAGAATAAATATTAATCGTTAACTTACTAATGAAAAAGAAAGGGAAGGGGAATAAACTTCCCAATGTACACTTATAAAACAAACATAAGTTAATTCTAAATGATTATGTGAGAACATTTTTTTCTTTTTCATTTCATACAAAANCGATTAAGCTCTAAGTAAATAAAATTTACATTTTACCAAAAATAAATAAATAACAATAAAAAAAGGAATAAGATTAAATTAATTAAAGGACCTAAGATGCATACTTTATTTTAGTACTGGTATAAAGAAGATTTTTTTTGCTTTTAATGCTAAAACCCATAATTTTGCAATTTTGAGCCAAACTCCTTGGTAAAGTTTTAGGCCAAATTTTTAACATGGAGGACATCAGAATAGAAACAAAATCACATTTTCTTTGTATTAGTAGATAAAAACAGGAAAATATTCCACGATTAGCCAGATGTCAAGATTACTCTCGTCTATGACATGATCCCTCAACCAATGGTGATATTGTATGTCAGTGTAAACCGAGAGCAGTATACGAATCAACATGGGGATTCGAACCCGAGCGCTAAATTACTTATAAGCCATATTACCACCAGAATATTTATTATTTTAGTTATCAAAATCAATGGAAAATGTAGTATTATAAATTTCGTTATAATGTAAACGCACTACATGCCTATGAAAGGAGTTGCTGTGCAGATTTTATCCATCTCACAATTTTGGAGAAAGCGGTGTCTATAGCGGTGTTTTGTATTCAACAATACAAAAAACAAATAAACAAAATTCGGCTTAATAGAATAAATTCTTTTTTTTTCTTCTTTAAAATATTTTTTTGACAGGAAGATGTACTTTTCCGACATGAGCAGAGCCTACAATCGTGATTAATCACAGACAAATTAGGTGTTTTTGTTAATTATAACTTTTTTTTAATTATATTCAAAAAAATATGTTTTTTCCTGATAAGTAAAAAAAAACTATTTCTGATGAAATAGCTTGTGCATTTTAACTAAAGAGTAAATGAGGTCTTCTTTATTGCAATTCACGAGACAACTTTGTAAGTATAGGTATTGCAAGTCTATTTTAATATTTTAACTCATTAATGAGCAATTTATTGGATTTCTTAGCATATATGACTATATACACTATTTAAAAGTAAATTAGAAAGAAAATGATTGACGAAACAGAATTTTTTAAAGCTAAACGGTGCGACGTTTTACAAAATTCTTTTCGTTATTGAATGCGAAGAAAGTGTGGTCACGTGAGAATGATGGGGTAGAATAGTCTTCTTCTCTCCCCCTAGCCGTCTAGGGTGTGAAATAACTATCCATACAGACACACACACAAAAACAAAAAAAAANAAAAAAAAAAAAAAAAAAAAAAAAAAAAAAAAAAAAAAAAAAAATCTTGATCCTCAGAATTTTCCGAGATGTCTCAAAAGAAAGTTGGTGGTATAGTACTGTGAGTAAAAAGAACGTGTCTCGTTTTCTATGTTTCTAATTTATTCCCATTTTTTTTTAAAAAAAAAGCTTTTTTTAAGAAATTTATATATATTTTTGCAAGACAGAACAGTTTCCCGACAACTGACCAGGTGGCCGAGTGTTTAGCATGCCTGACTGCGGAGCCGATGGTTGCGGGTTCGAATCCCGCTCAGGGCATGGATGTTCCTTTCTCTCTGTGTTCTATGTCCTTTGTGCGTGATTGTGTGAATGTGACCAGCCCTACAAACGGGTTTGTGGTTGTGTGCCGTGGGCGACGCTGCTCCACCGCTGTGTCTTCGCCACAGGTGCCCACTGGGTAACGAGAAGAGAGTAGCAGTTCTGGCACTCCTGGCCAATGGAACAATACATCCCAAGTGCCCGCCATAAAAAAAATTAAAGAAACATTTTCCTGACAAATTTTAAGTTCCTTCCTACAGGGGGCATTGCCTTCCTGGCCCCCCACTGGGCGACGCCATAAAAAAAAACCATATATATGGGAATTCTTTAATTTATTCTGCATAACATGATAAACAAAAACTTACGAGCCGCGATGGCTCAGGGGATAGAGCGTTCGCCTTCCAGTGAGGTGAATCAGGGTTCGATCCCGGCGATGGCTGGTCGATACGAATTCCGCATCCGGCTTGCGTCGACCACAGTGCAGACGTGAAATATAGACGGATCATGGGTTATAGACGGATCATGGGAAGTGGTAGACGGATCACGGGAAGTGGTAGTTAGAGTCATGGGTTAGAGTCAGGCTAACCGTGGGAGGTTCTCCTGGTCTTTCTCTCCATGTAACGCAAATGCGTGTTAGTTCCATCAAAAAGTCCTCAACGAAGGCAAATTTCTCCCAATACTTGATCCAGGAGTTCTCTTGTCTTCTGGATTGGGTTCAAAATTACTAGGCTATGGAGTTGAACATTAGTAGTCATAAACCCAAAAATTGGGTCGGCTGTTCAACGACGGTTATATATATTATAAAAAAAAACTGACAGATAGACAAAAAAATACTTATTTTTTAATAAGTAGCAAGTAAGAGAAATCATCAAGGTGTGCTTGTTAAAAAAATCTTTTGTTTTTCTCAAATTACATCTTAGTTAAATTCACTTGGCATTAATAAAATAGATATGATGTATTAAAAAATCCGAACGAAATGTATTAAAAGAGGAAGGATCATGTTATCCTTATATTAATAAATCAACATAAGGTGCGAAATGAAGAAAAATGTGAACAAAAATAGAATATACACGATTCCAAAGTCATTCTATTTGCAAGCGAAAGAAAATTATATGTATTTTTGCAACAGTTAAAAATACCCTTAGTCGGAAAAATGTATGTAATAATCATATTTATAAGTTTCAATATAGTTCTAAACCACTCATTATGGATATTCTTGTCTAATATCTAATTTATTTCTAATGTTTTTAAGACAGTAGATTATATTTAAAATTTGTAACTTATTCAGGTTGATTTTAACGACCTTATTTTCTATTCCCGTCGTATTTCCTGGAGTAGACAAAATATGTCTTAAATAGATATTCTTTTCTGGATATAAATGAAATGTAAGCAGCTTTTGAAACTAACTCTATTAATATCCTAAAAAATTTGATCGGTAGAAATTGTACATAATCATTTCCCAAAAGTAAGATGGAGTGTGATCATTTTTACTTTCGACAAATCAAACGATTTTTTTTTCTTCTTGCTCATCCTTTTTTGAGCAAGTTTATCTAAATAGGAATGACAAGAAGACGAAATTGTCTTTATGACTAATATTTCTTTAAGAGACTATACACTATATATATAACACTAAAAAAGAAGTATGAAATACCAATATTTAAATATAGCAATGACAAACTTTTATTGCTACTCATAAAAGGCCTATATTTAATGGTTTTTTTATTTGACAATGCGTTGTTTTATTATTCGAAAACTGGAGTTCGAAGAAAACCTCTTAAGATTATTTCATTATTATTCAAAGGAGAGTTTATCAATGTTTTTAAGCTACTGGTTTTAATTATTTATTAAAAAAAAATGCAGAGTGCTTCTTCAAAAGTTGAGTGCCTAAGCTCATTGTATTTGAACACAATTAAACAGCCTGTTAAAAAACTGATTCTGTAAGTTCACATTTTGTATATATTTTTGTATCTGTCAATTTCAGTGAGTTTGAAAATGTTAATTTGATTTCCCAAATCTTAATTTTTCCTTTGTTATTATTTTTGGCTGTTATTGCATGAATTGAATTTTGTTAAGTGTCGATTAAGCTCCTTTACTCCATAACGTATTCTGTTATTTGGAGTCACTGCAAAGTTGAATTAAAATATTTAGTTTCGAACTAATTACTGAAACTTTAAACCCAATAACTGAAAAACCCGATTACTACTCCCACACTGTTAAAACTGTGGTGTAATAAATAGCTTCCGAAATTCAATGTTGATCAAACTAAAAATTTGTACGAAAGAACACTTTATTTTATGTTGACACCAGATCAAGCTTTCATATATACTTTAAAAGTTGTAATGAAATCAAAACTCCAATAATGCAGAGCACTTACATGCGTTTACACCACTCGCGAATTGTTTTCGCTTTTTAAAACGATTATTTTGAGGCATTTTATATATCGTCAGTTGATTGTTTACATTCAAGTACGAGATGACGTGAATTTGTTGTTTTGTTCACCGCTATCATTCAACGGCAGAAACAAAAAACCCCTGTAACAGAATGTATGTATGTTTTTAATTGTGTAATCAGAATTATCATGTTTGAATTTTTAAATGCCTGTGAATTATATTGAATAATTTTAGAATTTTTTATATTCTGTTAAGCCTAATTCGAACTTTCTCTTGGCTATGCATATGTTCCATTTACAAACTAATTTTACTTTAAGAATTAATGTGTGTATGCATCATAAACTTGCTGTTCTCACCTTTAATAGTTGTTAAAATAAATTTACAGAATTTTATGTTTGCTATGTCTTACTGTTATTATGTACTTTCTATGAAGATTTGGCTGCTTTTTGGCATTATTCTAATGTTTGGAGTTTTGCGAAGTTAGAATAAAATATGGGATTAAACTAACACGGATATTTTTACCCCTTTTCCTCATAATTTTTCCCAAATTATCGATAATCTTTCTTTATTTTATTTATTCTAAATTATTTTGAATGTTAAAACACAAAATGTAAATTTTTTCCTTTTATAGCAGACATTTTGTTAAAAAAATAATTATGCTTCTTGAAAAATTTCATACATTTATCATTATAAACAAACCTAACGTAATATTCTACTCGAATCGTCCGAAGTACAGTTATGTTTTCAGTGTGCAGTTCGATATCGAACAGTAAAGATATTGTTTTTCACACAAAATGTTCATAAAAATTCTCTAGAAGAGTTTAAAATAATAATAAAAAAATTCTTCAAAGAATGCAGCAGAATACTCGTAATAATAAATTATATACATAACAAATAAGCTATTCATATTAATCATACATTCCTCTTCGAAAAAAAAGAAACTTTTTGAATTTCCAGGGTAAAAAATGTATGGTCAAAACTACCAAAATATTTTAAAATTTACCGTGTTTCTGACTCTATGGGAACAACAAAAAAATTGTTAATATTTATTGAAATTGATAATGATTTTGGTAAAATTAACAATAAAATATTTTTTTTAAACATGTGATGAAATTTGGTAAATGGGATAAAATTTGTTTAGTTTATCATGATATCTCGGAGCACGACATAAAAACCAACAGATTAAATTTACTTTTCAAATGCTGTACTTTTTATAAATATGTGGTAATATGAACTATAATTTCGAAAAGTGGAATTTCTGGTTAACCATTACCATATGAACGGAACAATTACCAAATGAATGGTTTAAATACCGTATATTTGTGTATTATTAACCAGAATTATGTTTTTTAAAATTTTTGGTTTATTTTTTTTATTATAAATGTCTTGAAAATGCAATGAGGTAATTTTCTTAGAATTTCTTCATTTATTTATTTATTTTTTTAACGGAATTGTCACAACCATACCATACGGTAATTTTACAAGAATTTTTTTCTTCGTGTAAAAGATTCAATAGTGGAATTAAATTGGCTATTAGAAATGAAAAGAAAGAATATTAAAATTACATAAACTGATAAGGGAAAGAACTCAACTGTTCAGCGTATTTGGCAGCTCGTATTGGATTTTCCGGTTTCTTAGAAGAATAAAAATTAAAGAAGAAACGTTTATATGTGATGGTAGCTAAATTTAGATTGCGAGTGATTGTTGTGATCACTTTTATTTTCAATATAATACGTTTTTAAATGTAGTTTACAAATTTTTAACAACTGCAATTGCTTATGTATTTTGAGCGGAACCTTCTTCCATTAAATACTCTATTTTCTGATTTTTTAATATTTCTTTTAAATTAATATGCAGTTCGTAGAATTTAGTGCTAGACATAAAGAATATTTCATGCAATAAACAAAATCTTACTCTTTGTAAGCTTTTCTTAGCTTATTTTTACTTTAAATAGACCAGAAAAATATAGTTCAAAATGTAAAAGCTCGTTGAACCGTAGGTAGCATCGTTTGCTTGTAAGTTTCTGTGTTATGTAATAATATGAATCCTCTTTACTTACAATATATTTTATTTTAAACCTAGAGGAAATTCTATAAAAAGTTCCAAAGTTTCTTTTCAAAGTTTAAAGTTTCAAACTGCTACAACAGCAATGACAGTCTAAAATCTATTTAAAAAAATTAATTTTATTTCTACACAGGGGAAAAAATTCTGGTACTAGCGTACTGTATGATAATGATATTTCTGGTAACCCCCATCCCCATTGTTCTGGTTAATAAAAACAAAATACATTTTGCGTAAACCACTCATTTAGAATTTTTTCTTCCATATAGTAAGGTTAATCGAAAATTCTGGTTTTTAAAATTATAGTTCTATAGTATAATTACAGTCCTGTAGTATAATTATAGTTCACTTTTAGCAAAAAAATACAAAACTGAAAAGTAAATTTAACCGTTTTCATAGAGCCAGGAAAAGGGTAAAATTTACCATATTCTGTTTTTTTCTCAGTGTACAAATATAACTGCGTAGATTACTGCTTTCTTATGTCTCTATTTCTATTGCAGATTTACGGTAACCGAGCCCTCTTTTCAAAGCATAGTAAAAAGCTTAAAGTTTCTGAAGACTGTTACGAGAAATATTGATGATTTAGCTAATTGCTTATGGTCAAGACTTCAAGAAAAAACAAAGACTGAGAAAAATGAACAATATTCCAGTAATCAGAAGAAAACTCTTTCTGGCAGCATTACGAACAATGAGATAAACAAACGTTGCAATATGCCTTCCCACAACAAGAACAAGAGATATCTTGCTGTATTTCTGCTATCATTTTTAGGTCCTAGTGATAATCCTATGTCTTCCAACCAATCGAAGAGTAGTAGTTTTGACAGTGTAACTACAAGTGGAGCTGTGAGCTCAAAGTTCAAGTTTGGACTTAGTGTTATACAACAGACAAGCGGATCATTTTCGAAGTTATTGAAAAGAGACAATTCCCAACCTCTAATAAAAACTATGATCGCTCAACAGAGTCCAAAACAGAACCAATCAGAGGAAATTGTCTACGCTTTTAAATATCGAGTACAAAGAACTGTTAAAATCGTTGAAAGGAGGTTCGGTATTCTTGCACCACGAGCAAAAAAGCCCTTTACTGTCCATGGAACAACGATTAAAACTATAACTAAATCAGCACAAACTTTGAACAATGGTAACCTGCAAATAATTTTAACAGCTAATAAATTATGAAAAGACGCAGTTTCCGGACTCACTACAGCACAAATAATTGAACTACTACAAAGTTATGTTTCATGTACTGATATATTTTGCGTTCTGTGATAAATCTCAATTATTTGGAAAAGAGTGGCTGTTCCAATAATTATTTAATGCCATGGTACTATTTAATACCATGGTCGAATTTTGGGCGCACAGTCAAACATAAAAAATGCGAGCTGCTATGTTAAATTATGTTTTGAATTTTTTTCAATCTATTATATTTATATTTTAAATTTTTCGGCTCGACTTTAAGCATTTAAATAACGTTGAACAAAAAAAAGTAAATGATCGTCGATAGGTTTCAAAACCTACAAGCGCTTCAAAAACAGGCACCCATTCTCAAGACTTACCAGATGTGAATGTGAAGAAACAAAAGTGATTTATGTAATTTTGAAGGTAGTGAAGTTTTTAATCAGAAAAGGACGTGTATAGTTATGTACGTTCATAATATGTAATATTTTATAGTTACTAGCTTCGAATAATGGAATTTTGAAGAAATGAGAAATTGCTTAAAATACTAAAATTTCCATTCAAATACTTAATAGAAGAGGTTAATCAGTAATCTCTTAAATTTGGTGTATATTTAGTGAGTGTATTGAAATTATTTTATAATTTTGCTGTGTTTGTATAGAATCTAATATTTAGATTTATTTTGCGAATCGTTTTTAAGGCTTATTGTATATTTTTATTTGCTTAAAAGTAATGCATGAGTATAATGTAAGTGCAAAAAATGTGAAGTAAAATATTTAAAATCAATATTTTTTGCCTGTTTGCTTCGGTGGTTTAGTAAAATAAATAATTTTACATAAATTTTTCAGTACAAAATGAGGCTCGGGAATCCGAATCAGTTGAAAAAAAGGTATATTTATTAAGAGAAAGTACTTTTTTGTGTCTGATTTCGTAACTTAATAAACATATTTGAGGTCAGCCCCTCGAACCTTTAAAATTGTATCCTACAGTGCGACGATCCAATCTTAAGACCAAAAGTCATTCAGGGTGGCCGGTTTTTTTATTTTGCTCACTGTACATTAAACAAGTATACTACGAATGAATCAAAATAAAAGATTTTTGATTGTTGCAGCCTAAAACTTAAAAAAGGTGTTTTTAATTATGAAGTTGGTATCTTATAAGAACAGTTTTTCTTTCGTATGTTTAAAAAGTTTCAAAAATGTTACTTTTTAGTGGTTTGATTCGATTCAAATAATTAATTTCATTTTTAAACGTTTGATTAAATAGTATCAGAACAACTAATTCTCAAACATATTACTTCCCGTTCAGCACAATAATGATTTGTAAATACGAAATGATTTCTTTCCTAAAATATATGCACGAAAGAAATTTTATTCTTCTTTGCCATTAACAACTAAATAAATATTTGTTTTCAGAAATGCATTTTTTACATTTTGTTAAGTTATTTGTAAATTTTGTCTTCCTAATTTTTTTCCACATACACTGAATCTGCTCCGTTTCATAATTTTATTTTATATTTCCTATTTTGCAACCATCGTTGAACAGCAGACCCAATTTTGAGTTTACGACTCCCAAAGTTCAACTTCGTAGCCTTGTAATTGTGAACCCAATTCAGAAGACAAGGGAACTCCTGGATTGAGAGAAATTTGATTTAGTGTAGGACTTTCTGATGGCCTGCATTTGCGTTATATGGAAAGGAAAACCACTAAAACCACTTAACCTGGGAGCAAGGGGACACTAGCCCATGATCCATCTACCATTAAGGCTATTTTGCGTCATTACTTTGGTCGGCGCTAGTCAGATGGTTAAATTCGTATCGACCAGCCATCGCTGGGCTTTGAACCTAGGTCACCTGATTCGAAAGCGAGAGCTTCTTCCCCTGATCCACATGAGAAGGTTTCTAAGGGTTTTTTAAACCATAAATCTTTATACTAGTTTTAGAATTTTTTCGAAAAAAAATTAAGCATTGAAAATAATATTTAAGGGAAGGAAAAGCAAAAACGTTACTAAAGGTTTGAGTTTTTTTTGACAATGATTCCTTAATCTTTTTTTTATTTGATGAATCATTATCTGAGTGAATCAATACCAACAGTAACGTAAAATCTTGAAGAAAAAAGAGCAGCTTGTTTTAGCAGGAAGTTAAAACGGTGATATCTTGACAAAAAACCAATTATATTACGATCAATCGATTCAATATACATTGAAAAGAAAAACTACTTGCAAGTTTTAAAATTATTTTTAATAAAAAATGTACACTAAAATGATAAAATTTATGGTAATATGAACTGGTTGGATTTTACTGACATTTTACAATGCAATACGAAAAATTTGTTTTACTTTGAGCTCTTCTTGCTTAATTTTTTCAGCTTATTAACAACGCTGTAAGAAGTGAGGTTTTCTGAAATTTAAAAAAAAAAAAAAAAATGAAACTGACAATATAGTATTTGCGTGCTTAATTTTCTTTTTTATTGCATCTCTGAAGACAAAATTAAGCACATAAAATTTGCTTTACGTTCTTAATTTTCCTTTTTTTAGGTATTTTGCAAATTTAAATGCGATTCCAATTCAATTGAAGATTTAAAGAGGAGCAATACGATGAAAATAAAATTAATAAGCCTTTCTAAAAATTGCTCTTTTTGTAGAATATAAATAAATATAATGTCTCAGTAAAATTAAAAACTGTATAAAACTTAAATGTTTCTTATCTAATTAAGAAGCAATGCTAAACATAATATTAAAATATCATCTTATAAAATATATATTTAGTATTAACTTCAACTGTCGGAAAAAGTAAGCTTGCCTATTATTTTCTTATTTTGTATACTGTAATCAAAATTGAAATAATATAGTTCTTATTTTTATTTATTTTATTTTAATGTGGGTAAATATTACTAAATAAGTAGTTAACATAAGAAGGGAAGCGATAAATGCATCTCTGAGGTTTTTAGCTTATTATTTAACATCACTCAAGAGTCTTGGAAACGAATATAAAATTTCCCAAATGAGTTCTTTTTACATTTTAAAAAATAATTGAATTTCAAACAACTACAAATTATAATAAACTAATATTAATTAAAAAATTATTTCTATAAATAATTTATACGAAGACTTCTTATTTCTTAATTAAAGCTAAAATATTTGTTAAAATTACTTTCAAAATAACGTAGTTTTAATTCTATCAATTATTTGATTTTATTAAAACTAATCAAATAAGAAATATTTTAATATGAAACTTTTTTTCTCAGCATGTAATTAAATAAGATTTTACCATACAATTGTATAATATTTCATATCAATTCTTTGTAAGCGATTAAAAATAGAAGAATTAAATGAATATTTTTTAGAGTTGTGGAAACGAATTAGCATTTACAAATGAATAATATCATGCATTAAAATAGGAAATAGGTAAAAAGAAAAATAGTTTACAATAGTTTATAAATTCGTATACTTAAATACACTGTCAAAATTTTCATTCTGAAATTCCGGCAGAATTAATTAATCGTAAAGTTTACGGTGAAGAACAATTTTCAGCTTTTCGGTTTTTTTACAATTTACAACTAGCATGTTTCAAAACCGTAAAAAGGAAATTTAACTGTGCATTGGAGTTAGGTTGCGGTTGAGTTGTGTTTTATCAGAAAAACCGTGAAATGTTGTATAATTAGTTTATCTGGTTGTTTCACTAATAAGTATCTCCATTGTAAGACATGGGAAATACCAGACTTTTTTTGTGTTAAGCAGCTTTATGATGCTACTATCTATGCGTGAATGAGATAATCGTATTCCAATACTCCAGGATCATAAATTGGGGAGTGCAGGACACAAAACACTCTTCATGTGCTGAAGGAAAAAAAAAAAAAGAAATACTGCGGTGTGAAAGCTGGGACTTGAACCCACGTTCTGTCGGTCATGAGATTGACAGATTAGCCCTCTGGACCATAATATGTACTGAACTGCCAGGAACTAAGGGACTTCATTACGTAAGTCAAGTTGGTGAGTTAAAATTCTGGTTGTTGTTAGAGGAAAGCAGTTAACAACTGGTATTCCTTACTGTTAACAGTTTGAATACCATCTTATTTATGGACCTTTGACTGTTTTGTTTAAATATAATGAATTAACAATTAAACGAACTGTTATTTAAGCATTTTTTCCAAGAAATATTCACTAGTGCAAGGATATAGTTTATTCTTACAAATAATTTCTTTAAAATTTAAAAATTTTTTTTTCCTTCGAAATGGAATAAATGTTTTCCATTATATAATATCTTAATAAGAAATAAGAGAGCAATTTTAGATGAAGTTAAAAAATTTTTTTGTCAAACAAAGCACTTTGCTAAAGTGAAAATTTTTTTTTTAGTAAAATAAATACATCTTTAGTGGATTGAGAAAAAATATTTCCAAATTATTGCATTAAAAAAAACTCAGAGGAGTTATTATTATTTATTTTATTCCGAAATTAATATATTTAATTTAAAAATTATTAGGTACTGTATTTTATATTTTGAAAATCATATGCAGTTAGATTCAAGGATTTAAAATTTTTTTTTTTATGGTTATCACACTTTTATAGTTTGCTCAATAAAAAGACGATAAAAAATTCCGTTTTTTAGCAACTCAAAGCATAAATAGACTCATCAATTATATGTCTCCTCTTCTGCCCTTTAGAATATTTGTCAGAAAAGAAAAATTTACAGAATCATTAGTTGTTGAATTTATTCAAAGAATATGAACAATATATTTTCCTTTTTCTTTCTGACTTAAATACTGCTTTATATTTTGGCATTATAGCTTTTTCGTTTAGATTGGCATCAATATCAGATGTCATAAATTTTATAACCCATACTCAAATACATAAAAGTGGGTAAAAGTATGACGTAAAACAGTATGTTTGACGTCAATTAATTAAGCTTTTTAAGGGGAAGAGAAACAATTACATTGTTTATGAATATTCTACTTGCAGACTTTAAAAGCATGTAAATCAGTTTAAAAAAAAGTCAAGTAGCTCTCATAATTTTTGCTAAATCATTCTTTGGCGTCCTTTAAACATACTCCAATGTTCAACATATTTCAGAAATTTAAATATTTTTAAGATGTAAAAATGGACTGTTTTATGGCTGTAATATTTTGTACTACATTCGTACCGCTCAGTTTTGTAGTTTTTAGAATTTCATTTTTTTCTAAATTAAGGAAATTTACTGAAATTTGAAGCAAGAGTAGATGATACCTAAATTTATTTAAATAAACATTATCGGGGGTAATTCAGTTTAAATCTGAAAAGATTAAACTCGTAAGTGGTGGATTTTTCCTAAAAAGAATGTAAAAGTTAAATTTAGTTTCTGCATTTTAGCATTATTTATATATACTAGGGCTGTGGTGGGCAAACTGTTTTAAGTCGGCAGGGCTGTATGATGGTCAAGAAGTTGGTCTCGTACTAGGAAGATCCGTTTGAATCTCGCGTCGGGCATACGTGTAATTTATCTCTCTGTTCTATCTGGCCTTGTTGTGTTGTGTCACCTATATGGTGACCAGGTTAAAATGGTTCGATACATTAGGCAATACGATTTTTTTTGGTGACAAAAATGGAATTACGAAATATTTCTTTAATTTTGACGGAATTCGTTTCCTCAAAAAGTGACGATGGCTATTTCGTCACTTTGACGAAAATTTTGCGTGGAGCACATACCAGGAAACGGTTTCGTCAAAAACGAAGAATTTCTCATGATATTTGCTTATCCATTTTTTGTAGTGTTGTTTGGACAAATTGAGAGAAAAAAAGTCATCGAAGAAGTGAC